TGGCAGACCAGGATCAGGTGGCGGAACTGGAGCGCCTGGAACTGGTGGCGGATCTGGGAGAGGTAGCGGATCTGGCAGACCTGGAACTGGTGGCGGATCTGGAGGCCCTGGAACAGGAACTGGAGTTAGAGGGCCTGAAGGTGGCGACGGACCAGGATCATCAGGTACTGGTGAGAAGCCACGATCACCAGGTACTGGTGGACGGCCGGGAGACCGGCCTGGATCACAGGGTACTGGTGGGCGGCCTGGATCATCGGATACTGGTGGGCGGCCTGGATCGCAAGGTACTAGTAGGCGGCCTGGAAGACCTGGCAGCGCCGGCACTCTGGGAAGACCAGGGACAGGAGGAACACGCGGAAGACCTGGAACAGGTGGAACTGCAGGAAGACCCGGAATAGGAGGAACACGTGGAAGACCTGGAACAGGTGGAGTTGCAGGAAGACCTGGAACAGGGTCTGGAAGACCGGGAGCCGCTGGTGGATCTGGAGGAGTTGGAGGACAGAGAGGCACCAGCGGACCGGACGGTGGAGTAGGACCTGATAGTGGATTTCCTCAAGGAAGCCGGGGTCCAGATGGATCGCGAATTTCACCAACATATCCATCAGGTCCATCAAGCCCCCGACCTAGACCTTTCGGAGCAAGGGTTCCAAGCAGTAAACTTGAATCTGACAGTGAAGAAGCTGACGAGGTTTCCGGAAAGCCAAGTTCTGAAGACCCCGAAAGTGGCATTGGATCTGATGCTGGGTCTGGAAGGCCTGGAACAGGCACAGGGTCAGGAAGACCTAGAACAAGCACAGGGTCTGGAAGACCTGGAACCGGAGCAGGATCTGGAAGACCTGGAATCGGTGGAGGATCTGGAAGACCTGGAGCAGGTGAAGGGTCTAGAAAGCCCGGCACAGGTGGAGGGTCTGGTAGGCCTGGAGGAAGTGGCGGAACTGGGGCATCAGGAAGGCCAGGCTCAGGCGGAAGAGTTGGAAAGCCCGGATCTGGAAGTGGATCAGGAAGGCCTGGAGTTGGTGGTGGCGTTGGGGGGCCAGGATCCGGAGGAGGATCGGGCAGACTCGGTTCCGGCGGCGGATTTGGAAGACCAGGCGCCGGGGGCGGATCTGGGAGACCGGGAGGCGCTGGTGGATCTGGAGGAGTTGGGGGACAGAGAGGCAGCAGCGGACCGGACGGTGGAGTAGGACCTGATGGTGGATTCCCCCAGGGAAGCCGGGGTCCAGACGGATCGCGAACTTCACCAACATATCCATCTGGCCCGTCAAGCCCCCAACGCAGACCTTTCGGTTCTAGGCAGCCGTCAACTTCAACTTCACCGGATAGATTTGGCAGCAGCAGGCCCGACCGTGTTCGCCCCGCGGTTCGCAGACCCGACGGACTGGACCCGGACGCTTTCCAGGTCTTCGGTGGCTCACCCGGCTCTCAACTTCCTGGTTTTACCAGGCCCAACGAACCGACAGATGAGCCAGGAGTGCGGCGGCCTGGGTCTGAAAGACCTGGGAGAATAGGCGGACCTGGTCGACCTGGCAGCGGAACTGGAGCTGGTGGTCCTGGAGGGTCTGGTGCATCCGGAAGGCCTGGAGGATCTGGAAGACCAGGAGTGGGCGGATCTGGCGGGCCCAGAGGATCTGGTGGATCTGGAAAGCCTGGAAGTGGAACTGGGTCTGGTGGTCCTGGAGGCGGTGGTGGATTTGGCAGGCCAGGAGTAGGCGGGTCTGGAAGGCCTGAGAGTGGCAGCGGAGCTGGTAGTCCTGGAGGGTCTGGTAAATCTGGAAGACCTAGAGGATCTGGTAGACCTGGAAGCGGAACAGGAGCAGGTGGTCCTGGAGGACCTGGTGGGCCAGGAGGAGCAGGTGGATCTGGAAGACCAGGAGGGTCTATTGGATCTGGAAGACCTGGAACTGGAGCAGGTGGTCCTGGAAGGCCTGGAGGAGTACGCGGATCTGGAGGACCTGGAAGTGGAACTGAAGCCGGTGGTCCCGGAGGAGTAGGCGGATTTGGAAGGCCTGAAAGTGGAGCCGGAGCTGGCGGTCCTGGAGAGTCTGGTGGATCTGGAAGACTTGGAGGATCTAGTAGACCTGGAGGATCTGGTAGACCTGGAGGATCTGGCAGACATGGAGGATCTGGCAGACCTGGAGGATCTGGCAGACCTGGAAGCGGAATAGGATCTGGTGGTCCTGGAGGATCTGGCAGGCCTGGAGGATTAGGCGGATCTGGCAGGCCTGAAAGCGGTAGCGGAGATGGTGGTCCAGGAGGGTCTGTTGTATCCGGAAGACCTGGAGGATCTAGCAGACCTGGAACCGGAACCGGAGCAGCTGGTCCTGGAGGAGTACGTGGATCTGGAAGTGGAATACCTGGAAGTGGAACCGGAGCCAGTGGTCCTGGAGGGCCAGGAGGACCTGGAACTGGTACTGGAGCAGGTGGCCCTGGGGGATCTGGGAGGCCAGGAGGATCTGGTGGACCTGGAAGTGGAACAGGAGCTGGTGGTCCTGGAGGTTCTGGCAGACCTGGAGGAGTAGGCGGATCTGGCAGACTTGGAAGCGGTAGCGGAGCTGGTGGTACGGGAGGGTCTGGTGGATCTGGAAGGCCTGGAACTGGAACCGGGACAGGTGGTCCTGGGGGATCTGGTGGATCTGGTAGGCCAGGAGTGAGAGGATCTGGCAGACCTGGAAGCGGAACCGGAGCTGGCGGTCCTGGAGCATCCGGACGACCTGGGGGAAGACCTCAAGGCGGGTCTGGTGCTGTAAGACCCGGAAGCGGATCTGAGTCTGGACGACCTGGAGCGGTGAGAGGGTCGGGCCGACCGACTCCCGTATCTGGGGCTGGAAGACCGCGTCCAGTCTCCGGAGCCGGTAGACCGAAACCAGTCTCCGGCGGTCCCACATCCGGTGGGCCCGGCTCTGGCGCCGGCTCCGGTGCAGGGGTCCGCGTACCGCCCTCGAAACCGACCATCAAACGCCCGGAGGCGGGTCTGAAGATCAGCAGCGCGCCGGTGGATGGTCTGATTGACCGTGACCGGGAGCCGACTTCTCCCGGAAAGCTGCTAGACTTCCTCCGCCAACATCTGTTCGGCCCGGGAGGTATCAAACGCAAGGAGGGCGAGATTGGACCGGAAATCTGCGAGAGGGCAGGTCAGTGAATCTGATGGGGTTCCGGGAAACTTTGCGACTGTTTGGGATTGTGCCGACGAGTGAATGCTCATGTGGCATGAGACCATCTTATGATTTGTGCTTGCCACCGTTTCTTTAGGTCGGTAATGTGTCGTGAATCTTTCTTGACTGTGTGGGTTATGTACATTGTACATCTGGGTAAGACGCAACGGGAAAATATGGCCATAACCGAAACGAATCTTCCACATCCCCGAACCATCTCCAAGGCGATGAATAATTGATCACTTTCGTGTATTTCGCAGGCATGTTCCGTCACCCGACCAACTGCAACAAGTTCTACGAGTGTTACTGGGACCCGTGGTCGGAAAAGTTCACACTGCACGTCTTCAACTGCGCCGTCAGGTAAACATTGGCACGGTTGAGATTAGAGAGCTACCACCAAGTCAGGGTGCGCTACTATGGTTGAGACTAGAGACTAGAGAGCCACCACGAAGCCAACGTGGCGCAATGCATAACTTACCATATTTCACCGCACACTAGCTATCTCTAACCCCCATTCTTTCCCTTCCGCAGACTGGTTTACGACGAACAGATTGCGGCATGCAACTGGGCCTACAGCCGAGCCGACTGCACCGATCGACCTGACGCCGAGCTGGAGCAACTGCTCCGCGAGGCTGACCGAACCCAGTTCCCCGAGGGACTTCTCAACGGGTACCCGGAAGTCCGCGACTTCCTCGGCCTCTGAGCGGCTGACGTCATTGGGCACCGATGACGTCATCTGGGTCAAATAGTCGGTGGATGGGTTGATCGGTCGGTGGTGCGCGTGGTTTGATTTTACGTCGCTGAAACGTGCATTCAGTTTTTACGACACGGAAAGACTAGCAAGAGATTTATGTTCTGGACGAAACTGAGCAGATGTCATACATGTCAAAGGTTATCAAAAGTTCTATTTAGCAATTAGATCTTTTGCCTGTCTTGTTTTGGTTCCAAAGATACGACATCGAGCCACCCGCACGACCGACGGGCGAGTTTTGTGATAGCCGCGAAGGGCGTATTGTGAGTTGTGCTGGTGTGAGGTGTGAGATGTCAGCGGGTGAGCTGGGCTCACCTGGTGTGAGCGACAAGAGTATGGTAATGTTACCAGTCGCTGGAGTGGGGGTGGGCGGTGGGCGAGGTGAAGCAGCGACGTGAGATGAACACATGTTCTTTGTTCCGTCGCTTGTGAGGGAAAGGTGGCATGTCGTGCTGTCCTCTCGTGCCTGTAAGCGACTAAAGGGTGATATGTGCGAGCACACTGTGGCCTTAGTGGACCAAATAGATACTGCCTTCATTCTATGCGAGCATGACTGCGTGGGATTCTAGACCGTCTGGAAAAAGGGTCGATATCATCCCTCATCTGCACGACAAGATCGCTCTGCATCTTCAGATGAATATAGCATAAGTTACCTTTTTACATTCTGCGATTGTAGAAACATAGAATAATCAATATATATCGAATTATAACAAAAAAATCAACAAGATTACTCCCTAGCGTAAGCAAACACATTTCCTCGTAAGGTTGATCCGCAAAGATATTACTTTACTAACATCTCTGATAAGTAAGCCCATTGTCTTTTTCTTGGTAAGCCAAGTAACAATGACGTGAAGGCTGAGACTCCTTTAAGTTCGGAGATCCACGCTATAGGTATAGATTAACCTCTATTCGATGCCCGACCTCAATGATTAGATTGTAAATAATCATAGAAAATCATAGAACAGTTCCACGATCATTTTCCGAAATACATCATGCTGATTCTAAAAACTGTTTGCGATCAGAACCGAAAACTAAAGTTAGAGGAGGTAATTTCCAAGCCAAAGCGAGCCTCACACACAAATCGACACACTGATACGTTTTCTTCACCAGCTATATTCATGACTCTGATGATACGACTTCCATTTGATCAGTCCCCTTCACCCCATCACCCCTCGTGGAATCCTTCCGCGCTCCATCCGTCGTCGCATCCTCCGGCTCTGTCTTCCCATCTGCCTCGACCTCCGTCCTCTCTCTTTTCACGGACTCTTCGGGTGGAGGGGAGGACGCCGAGCCATCCCTTCGCTTCCTCTTCTTGCCTTGGTTTCGACTCTGTTTCGCCTGCATCGCCTCGTGCGAGATGCTGAAAGGATATAATAGCTCACGACGATGTTCCAAGATGATCTGTGTGGATAGTAGCGGCCCTTCAGGAAGTAGGAACTAAATGAGCTCGGTCCCAGTTTGATATGATCGTTCAGGGATGAAATAATAATCACCATCTACAGAAATGCAGCCCCAGATCGAAACCTGACAGGGAGGCAAGATCCATTGACTCGTAAAGAGAGACGCGTGACAGGACTGAAAGCGAAGGAACGAATAAAATCACCATTCATTACTTGGTATAGGGTATACAATTATTCCCATACCTGCTACATTGCATGATTAAATCGAGACATCCAGGCATTTTAATGGCACGTGCACTGTACCACACTTTTCAAAGTTTAATGCAGTGCTTTAATATTGCCAGCCGTGTGGTTCAAGGGGTGTGGTTAAACGCGTTGAACCACACGGCTGCTGACGTCACTATCAATTATAGTTGTGAGCTTTTTGGCAGGTATGGGAAACACCTTCCAGCCCTAAGGCCGAGAATTCAATAAATGTCACCTCGCTTTTTTAGCGAAAAGCACCTCGGGCCTAACGGCCCTCGGAGTTTTCGCTAAAAAACCTCGGTGACATTTATTGAATCATCCCGGCCCCGGGCAGGAATATATTTACATACATTACGCATTCCAACCGACATTAGGATACGTCACGCAAGGATCCATGCCAGTGTAGAACGAAATCAGACCATCGTTCAGGATCATCGGGCCATCAGCTGGAGGCATGAGAAGGGTTGCTACCAAACATGGGAACATGCTAAAAAGCTAGCTGGAGCGTCAAACTAAAAAAAAACCGGACCGATCACGAGTTGAAATATTAGTACATAACCCTACTAATATGCATGACGAATCAACAAAATCACCAGCTATTTGATTATTTTCTGTTTCATTCCTTCCCTCACAATGCTGTCATCTTGTTTTCCATTAGTGGGAAGTTCCTCAGAATTCCAAAATATAGTAATAGTTTCAAAAAAGTGCTTCTTAAATGCAGGCACGAGATGAGCAATCACCAGCAGGCATGTCCCTCACGGTATCCAGACTGTCCGCCCATATCCTACCTCCCTCTCCCAGCACCCCAAGTCCCCATCCTCACCTGGTCTTGGCGCGCGCCTTGGGTCCCCAGTGCGGCTCGGGGTTCTGTTGAAACCTCCTCAGCTGCAGCTCGCGCGACTTTGGGTTCGCCTCAGGGTGTCGAATGAAACTCACACCATCTGGCGCAGGTTTGGCCAGCAGAGTGGCCGCCGGGCTGCCCGCGGGAATGTTCTCTCGTTTGGCGGGATGGAGCACCTCCCAGGCGCGGATCACAGACCACACAAACTCGGCCGGCGCGTCCGTCTTGATGGCGGAGGCGTTACAGTGAGAGCCCGAGACGCGGTGGCCGGCGTTCAGCAGAGCAGACCTGGCGGAGAAACGGTGGGTCATTTAGTCATGACCACAGATGATCGCATCCATATGTATCACTCATCACATAAAAAAGGATCTAGGAACCAGCTAATCTCATGAAACTGAAGTTAAACATCGCAGGGCAGCACGTAGTTATGTAAGTACTTCGACTATTTGCTCTACCATTTCAAACATATTTATCTGAGGTCCCACTCTCACCTAAGACCTAAGCAGAAGCCCATTTATAAATCTTACCTGAGGTCCAGCATGGGCGGCACGGAGAGTCGACACGTACTGGCCAACCGGCCGGCGTCATAGTACAGAGGCACGTCCGGCAACTCCTCCCTGATCTGGCAACAGATGATGGCGTGGTGACGATTTTTAGAGAGAACGCTACCGCCTGCCACGAAGTCTAATCGCAAATGATTATGTCGATAACAGAGTACGTAAAAGTGTACGTTTCTTTCCACTCATTGCCAGAACATTGCATGGGATATGGGGCCGACGTTAAACATTAGAATCGTGGATTAATCTCAAACACTCAAATCATTCCTTTCATAAACATAACTTTTAAACGAGTAATTATACAAATCTCGTTTGCTGGGCCCTAGGGGTAAATCAAATGCGAGGTCATTATACGTCTATAATCACATAAGACCGCCACACGTCTTCACTCACCACAGATAGGACGCCGACCATGCGTTTGTAGGTGTTGAGCTCGCCTTCCTTTAGCGACTCCAGCAGCTCGGTCACGAAGCCGGCGTCGTGTAGCGGCGCGCTCCACAGGGGTCCACACAGCTGAAATAGCGAGGGGGGGCTCAGGAAAGCAAATCGAGGATATTTTCAAATTTAACTGAATATGTAGTGGCAAACTTTGGAGTTCAGAATAATCAGTAACGAAAATAAAAAAGTTTACGACAGTTCTGTCATGTGAATTTAGTGACATACACGCAGAGCAGAAATGCATATTTAACGGAAAGAACAACTCAGGAGAGACCATAGCCAATAAATACATAGCCACGCGATGAGCATACGCAAATGCCCTTAATAATTTTGGAACATACATTGACTGGAAACACCATCCCAACATTCCCGGATTCCCAGCCAGCCAACTCACATGCGTGGCGAAGCCGCAGTGCGGACACTTGTCGCCGTCCGCCAGCGGCACGGGCAGCGAGTACTTGGCGTTGGGACCGTTCCACGTCACACGACAGAGCGGTTGGAGACGCCAAGAGTCGCAGCCGGAGCACACCAGACAGTTAGACAGCTTACTGAAATAATCAACGAGAATAGCTCATTGGGGGAGGGCAGATCGGGTGACACTTCACTGCAAAGGAAATGAGCGAAACGGGACGGTTACCGGAGAAGAAAGCAAGCGAAGGTTGCTTGTGAGTACAACTTTGGTCGTGGGACAAGGAAGGGAGACAAAAATTTGCTCAGGTTTGCCTACAGTAACAAATGGGTGAAAAATTAGGACATGCTAGTCCAAGCATAAAGCCGCGTCTGTCAATACCCAACGAAAAGGAAGACAGAGAGGAACACACGTTTATCAATCATCATAAGTATTATCAATGAAGCAATTATAGATGTACTTCACATGCTGAGTGAGTTAGGTATATTAAGCCTTTCAACCGCTTCAACCAAGCATTCTTCCAACCACCTCAGGGCTCTGACTCACCTGGCGGACAGTTTGACTTTGCCGGCCGACGTGTGTATCCTCACAAAGAGTCTGATGTAGAAGTCGGCACTGACTGACAGCAGCGGCTCAATGTAGCGGCCGTACCGGTTGGCGTGGCTCTCCACGCACTGCAGCGCGATACGCAGCGCCTGGTGGACGGTGTGGACAGGAGGGTCAGTGTCGAAGCGTTGTAACTTCACACTGCAGCGCGATACGCAGCGCCTGGTGGACGGAATAAGATGATGATGATGATGATGATGATGAATTGGGGGTTTTGGGGCGCCCGGACTACAGTGGTCATCGGCGCCCATGAATGGTCGACGGTGGACAGGGGTGGTGAAGGAATGAGATACTGAACAGTGAACGCCTTCATTATAGGTACGAATGTGGACTTGGAAGTAAAACGCATCATGAAGGTAAAAAGTAACATTTCGAGAGAATTCAAAATTTATGAAAAATATTATTATGCTGCCGAAGGAATGAAAGATAACTTACTGTAACCACGAAAACGATTATTTTTACGACAAGCAAATAACACAAATCGAAGTCCTTCCCAACCAAATTGACAAAAAAAGTTCAAATGGCTCTAAATTCCGTCCTCGGCCCGTTTCGGGCCCCCACTGACCAGTTCGTGGCACATTTTGCTGCGCACCGACATGGCTCCGTACTTCGCGTGGCACGTCTCCGGCGCGTTCCCACACAGGATGGCCAGGTCTGTGCAGGTGACCTGAAGAACGCCACCTGAAGGGATTGACGGGGTGAAGTCAGATATTGATAATTCGGTAGACTGTTGATGCGGTGGTTGTTAATAATAATGACCACCGGCCACCGCTAAGATGCGGTGGTTATTTATTGAGACAGTGGTATAAGTCGATAAAAAGGCAAAAATTGTTCCCGAAGACTAGACCCAGAAAACAGCCGAGTACCCCAATGCTTGATGGAAACCATCTTAAGGTACGCAGTCAGACAATGGTCCAGTTAGCTGCTTACCAGTGCAAAACATCGAATCAAAAACGATCCATACCGGAAGCAATACGATGCTTCTTTTATCTACCCATTCCAAATGCAAGCAGTAATAAAAGACAAATAATAAAACGACTTCTACATAGCTCCAAAGTTCGAGCTCCGATGTCACTGATCCAACTCCATACCATCAGCCACCGCCTGGACGGCCGAGTCGAGGAACACGGCCGGCGAGCCGTACGGGTCCAGGTCAACGACGTCGAACCGCTCCTTCCGCGCCCCGTACATCAACATACTGAAACACGGGAAGGCGCGGGGTAGGTCGTTGAGGCTTGTAGTATTGGGAGCGAAATAACAAGGAGAGGTGCCGAACTGACACATCACGCAAGGGCGGGTTAATGACATAAAACAGGAGAAAAATGACAATATACAGTCTCATCAGTTGGCAGTCGGTCTGACAAACAGCTGCATTAACCCTTTTACTTTTCTCTCCTCAATCCTCCTTTACTTTGCTTTGCGATCATACTTTCGTAATACATCCCTATTATATTCCTCCTTTCTCCCGTTATTTAACTTCAAACGTTATCCATCCCTATACCAAGTCATTCAACTTCATTCACTTCATTCAATCCCACTCTCGTCTCTTTCTGATATCCGGCCTCTTTTCATTTTTTCACCCTTCCGTTCCCTCTCTTTTTTCCGTTCCATTGCTGCCCTCACCTGGCATCGCCCTGGTGCGGCTCCACCAGCTCCTGGACACCGTTATGTTCCACGTTCCTTCTCATGGACTCCACGGCGGCGGCCGACAGATCGTTGGCCACCACCTGACGGAGACCGCCAACCTCGCGGGCAAACCGGCAGGAGCGGAGACCGGAGGCGGCCAGGGCCTCCAGGACTCGTAGACCCGTCTGGGGAGGGGAGGGGTTCACTGTTCATAACGTGGGCTCATGTGTTATCGAAACATGATAAGCATAGGTACATGAAGAGATTGCTATTGACGAAGTGCCGAGGCTTGAATGTAGATGCTTGTTTAAATATCCATTTGAGTAGGATTTCGGGTTTTTTGAAACGCTCAGTTTTTGCAGCGAGCTTTTCCTGTTAGGGCTTGCGAGATACCCGCGGAAACACATATCTCTTCAGCATTGCGCGCCACACAGGAATGCGGCTGATTCACGTGCGATTGTGAGCGAGGTGCTTCCCTCCGGGAGAAATTCGCCGTCCCCATATGCTTAACACAGAGCCGAGCGGCGGCTGACAGGTGGCCGGCTCTCGGGAGATCGGCAGCCGACACTCGAAAAATCGACAACCCGCCGCTGAATGCGCGTGCGACAGTGCTGAGCCGAGTCGTTCCCACGGTCTGAGGTACCCCCAGTTTGAAGATTCGGCTGTAGAATATGTAGTTTTAAATACGTAGTTTGACGTATATCTCGGAAAAGTGAGATACGGCCAGAAATGAGTGTGGGTCCCTCCGTTCTGAAGATTCTGATCGACGCCGATTGAAATAATTCGCCGTGCATATCTCGGCTTATTGACGACCGATTGACACGGGATAAACACCGATCGATACCAAATGGCTCTGTGTGTGGGGGGGGGAGTAGAGTGGCAAGTTTTCCTACCCGACGAACCCGGAATTATCCCGAGGGGGTAGGTGTGGGAGTAGAGTCGGGGGAACGGGGGGGGCGAGTGCAAGTACCAAGTACTTTCGCAAGTACCAAGCAAGTACCAAGTACTTTTACAAGTACCAAGCAAGTACCAAGTACTTATGGAAATACCAAGCAAGTACCAAGTACTTTGGCAAATACCGAGTACTTATGCAAATACCAAGCAAGTACCAAGTACTTTGGCAAGTACCGAGTACTTTGGCAAGTACCAAGTACTTTTGCAAGTTCAGCAAGTTTTTCGCCAATATCGAAGCTTCTAGACGTCCGATCATCACCGGAAAAACACCATTCGATCCCAAATTTTCTCCCGAATCTTTTTATGGCCAACGCGACGCGGAGCGAGCCAAGATATCTTGTTTAAATATCCATTTGACTAGGATTTGGCGTTATTTGAAACGCTCAGTTTTTGCAGCGAGCTTTTCCTGTTAGGGCCTGCGAGATACCCGCGGAAACACATATCTCTTCAGCATTGCGCGCCACACAGGAATGCGGCTGATTCACGTGCTTTTGTGAGCGAGGTGCTTCCCTCCGGGAGAAATTCGCCGTCCCCATATGCTTAACACAGAGCCGAGCGGCGGCTGACAGGTGGCCGGCTCTCGGGAGATCGGCAGCCGACACTCGAAAAATCGACAACCCGCCGCTGAATGCGCGTGCGGCAGTGCTGAGCCGAGTCGTTCCCACGGTCTGAGGTACCCCCAGTTTGAAGATTCGGCCTTAGAATATGTAGTTTTAAATACGTAGTTTGACGTACATCTCGGAAAAGTGAGATACGGCCAGAAATGAGTGTGGGTCCCTCCGTTCTGAAGATTCTGATCGACGCCGATTGAAATAATTCGCCGTGCATATCTCGGCTTATTGACGACCGATTGACACGGGATAAACACCGATCGATACCAAATGGCTCTGTGTGTGTGTGGGGGGGGAGGGGGTAGAGTGGCAAGTTTTCCTACCCGACGAACCCGGAATTATCCCGAGGGGGTAGGTGTGGGAGTAGAGTCGGGGGAACGGGGGGGGGGGGGGCGAGTGCAAGTACCAAGTACTTTCGCAAGTACCAAGCAAGTACCAAGTACTTTTACAAGTACCAAGCAAGTACCAAGTACTTATGCAAATACCAAGCAAGTACCAAGTACTTTGGCAAATACCGAGTACTTATGCAAATACCAAGCAAGTACCAAGTACTTTGGCAAGTACCGAGTACTTTGGCAAGTACCAAGCAAGTACCAAGTACTTTTGCAAGTTCAACAAGTTTTTCGTGAATATCTAAGCTTCTAGACGTCCGATTAACACGGGACGAACACCAATCGATCCCAAATTTTCTCCCTCATACTTTGATTGCCAAAGCGACGCGGAGCGAGCCAAGATATCTTGTTTAATTATCCATTTGAGTAGGATTGCGGGTTTTTTGAATTGCTCAGTTTTTGCAGCGAGCTTTTTCTCTTAGGGCCTGCGAGATACCCGCGGAAACACATATCTCTTCAGCATTGCGCGCCACACAGGAATGCGGCTGATTCACGTGCTTTTGTGAGCGAGGTGCTTCCCTCCGGGAGAAATTCGCCGGCCACCGGCCGGCCGACGGCTGGAAAATTCCACCGGCCGGGCCGGCGGCGGTGTGCAATGTGGGCAGGTGCTGCCACCTGTGCAGTCGTCCGGCCAGAGCCGCCGTGCGCGGTAGTTCCGCGTGCGGCCGCCAGAGGCATGTCGCCCCGCGCGTCGCTTCAAACCTGACGAATCTACAAAAAGTTTAATAACTTTAATAAGAGAGACGATAAAGCCACAATTCCAACGCTGAATGTTGAGCAAAAGCAAAGGGATCCAACACAACCATCTGTATTTACTGTATTTACCCTTTTCAGTCAGCGATAAGCCCCAGCAATCGCACCGCTGCAAAACTCGCAAGCTGTTCACCGTGCAGGGTATTGCATTATAACCACCCACCGGCTCTTTCGACGTAAGTGTAATCGCTTAATAGGTAGGACGCAACAAATAAGAGAAATGATAGGTAGGTGAATTAAAATACGAATTGGAATTTTAAACAAAACTCAAATTGCAAACAATTCATTAAAAACAAATCAATACAAACTGCGACCACGGGAAAATTGAAAAATCTTAAACGACGTCTGATTTAAACGTCGGAAAGGAACAAGTTCTTTGCGGTATTTAGACAAGTAAATACCAAGTATTTTAGAACAAGTTCTTTGCGGTATTTAGGCAAGTATATACCTTTGGCAGGTTTTCAGTACATTAGCAAGTTTTCAGTACATTACCAAGTAGCAGGTGATACAGCAAGCTGGCAGGTACTTTGGCAAGTTCAACAAGTTTTTCGTGAATATCTAAGCTTCTAGACGTCCGATTAACACGGGACGAACACCAATCGATCCCAAATTTTCTCCCTCATACTTTGATTGCCAAAGCGACGCGGAGCGAGCCAAGATATCTTGTTTAAATATCCATTTGAGTAGGATTTCGGGTTTTTTGAAACGCTCAGTTTTTGCAGCGAGCTTTTTCTCTTAGGGCTTGCGAGATAGCTGCGTGCACACATATCTCTTCAACATTGCGCGCCTCACAGGAATGCGGCTGAATCACGTGCGATTGTGAGTGAGGTACCCCCAGTTGGAAGATTCGGCTGTAGAATTGTAGTTTTAAATACGTAGTTTGACGTAGATCTCGGAAAAGTGAGATACCCCATATGCTTAACACAGAGCCGAGCGGCGGCTGACAGGTGGCCGGCTCTCGGGAGATCGGCAGCCGACACTCGAAAAATCGACAACCCGCCGCTGAATGCGCGTGCGGCAGTGCTGAGCCGAGTCGTTCCCACGGTCTGGCGGCCAGCTGGGTGGGGGGCGGGGTGGGGAGTGGGGCGCCGATTGCCGGCCGCTTCTCCACGGGCAGGTGCTGCCACCTGCGCAGTAGTTCCACTGGCGGCCGCCAGGCCCGTGCGGCAAGCGGGCCGTGCGCGGTAGTTCCGCCAGCGGCCGCTAGATGGATACCGCCGCGCGCGTCGTGTCTAACCTGACGAAGCTACAAAAAGTTAGATAACTTTAATAAGAGGGACGGTAAAGCCACAATTCCAACGCTGAATGCTGGGCAAAAGCAAAGGGATCCAACACAGCCATCTGTATTTACTGTATTTACCCTTTTCAGTCAGCGATAAGCCCCAGCAATCGCACCGCTGCAAAACTCGCAAGCTGTTCACCGTGCAGGGTATTGCATTATAACCACCCACCGGCTCTTTTAACGCAAGTGTAATCGTTTAATAGGTAGGACGCAAAAAGCAAGGAAGACATGATAGGTAGGTGAAATAAAATACGAATTGAAATTAAGCATAACTCAAATCAAATTGCAATCAATCATTGGAAACAAATCAAAACGAACTGTGACCAAGGGAAATTTGGAAGGTCTTTGGTCGTCTTAACACGTCTGATTTAAACGTCGGAAAGGAACAAGTTCTTTGCGGTATTTAGGCAAGTAAATACCAAGTATTTTAGAACAAGTTCTTTGCGGTATTTAGGCAAGTAACTACCTTTGGCAGGTTTTCAGTACATTACCAAGTAGCAGGTGATACAGCAAGCTGGCAGGTATTTTGGCAAGTTCAAGCTGGCAGGTATTTTGGCAAGTTCAACAAGTTTTTCGCGAATATCTAAGCTTCTAGACGTCCGATCAACACGGAACAAACACCAATCGGTCCCAAATTTTCTCCTTAATCATTTTATGGCCAACGCGACGCGGAGCGAGCCAAGATATCTTGTTTAAATATCCATTTGAGTAGGATTTCGGGTTTTTTGAAGTGCTCAGTTTTTGCAGCGAGCTTTTTCTCTTAGGGCTTGCGAGATAGCTGCGTGCACACATATCTCTTCAACATTGCGCGCCTCACAGGAATGCGGCTGATTCACGTGACAAACTCGGTGGCGGTCCCTCCGTTGCGGAGATTCGCCGCCGACCGCCCGACGACGGGAAAAACTGCCGAGTCTGCCGGCAGCTGCTGCCACCTGGACCGCAGTTGGGGCGGCCGGACCGGTGGCTGCTGCCACCTAGCGGTACAACCGCAGTCTGGCGCATACAAGACCGCAGCGTACACTTATCAAAGCATACATGGAAGTCGTAACATACAACGTTCAAAACATACAAAAAACAGACCAGGTAGTCGAAACATACAAAAGTGCAGTACCAAGTACATTTGCGAGTACCAAGCACTTTCGCAAGTACCAAGCAAGTACAAAGTACTTTTACAAGTACCAATCAAGTACCAA